GCTGCCAGAGGGATGTCTGATTGCCATCTTAGGCCCAATCCCCTGGGGAGCAGGCCTAAGCCAGCAAGTGGTCATCCCCCGAGGGGTCCCAGACTGCGAGAGGGCACAGGCCGGGCTGAGGGACACCCCCCCCAGTGCACAAATTTTTGTGCACCGGGCCTCTAGTTATTTATATAATGAGTTCTAAAACCATTATTTTATCATTCAAGAACCTCCATAATCTTGTACCATGTTATATTTTTCAGACGCAGTTCATTTAATCTTTCATCATGGATTTCAAACATATTGAATTATATACAGTTCCATGTACATGGGTAGTTATTTACCACCTCCTTGCTTTTTAAAATGTTATTCCTTTATTCTTTAATAATTTTTTTATCCCTTAGGTACTCCTCTTACCATCTATCAATATTTTATTTTTCTTTAAAGGTCAATTTAAAATTTACCTCCTGAATTATATCTAATTAGAATTGGCTTAATCCTGCTTAGTGTTCTAGTAAGACCTTGCTTGTCCTAATTTCATCCCAAATGTCTTATATCAATTTGCATAAGCTCCTTGAGAAAAGGGTCCATTAAAAATTTATGTTTATGTCTCTAATTTAACTTAGTGTTTTGCACAAAATAAGCACTAAGAAAACATTTTGTAAATTGATGGATGAGGAGCAATATGGAAACATCTTGATATTTTCGGATGCAGAACCTCTTCTCCCCTCCTAGACCTGGTTTCTATGGGTGTACTATGATCACTCATGTAATGTGAGGACTGAGATCCCTATATGATGAGTTAATGTGACACATAATAATGACTCAGCTGTTTTCCAGGTGATGGGTTCATCTAACTGCTGGATAGGTACAATGTTAGTAAGACTAAAGTAAGGGCAAAACTAAATGGTCTAAGACAAAAAAAAAAAGAGTTGGAGAGGCTGTTTGACTTGAGGGCTCAGGGCTAGAAAGAAGGTAAAGAAGCTGAGCTGTCTGCAGCAAAGATCTTAGTTCTAGCACACAGCTAAGGAAACATCTATGTTTGCTTAGTATTGGGAAGTGTAAATTCATCTCTCATTTTTAAAAAACAAAACAAAAATGTAAACTTATTCAACCGCTTTGAAGATCTAGATTTTAGTTTTAGAAATATGGTGAAATGTTGGGTCCTATTTTAAGGGTAACAGGGTGAGAAAAAATAAAAAGTGCCTGGAGGTTCCTGTGCCTTGGTTTAAGTGACTAAGAAAAAATAAAAGAATGAACAGAGTGTTTTATCATGTCCTTTGCTCATGGTGACACCCTCTCTTTCCCTTACTAATAATGAACAGCTAAATAAGCACTATCTTCAAACTTTTATCTACTTAGGATGTAAAACAAAAATGCTTTCTGCATAAACTTATATAGAACTTTCTTCCACTAATTGAAATTGCAGTCTAGTCTTGTTTTCTGTTTCCCTAATGCAACATATTCCTCCCTAGAATAAGTTTTTTTTTTTCCACACCTTAATGCCCAAAGCGACAGATGGTATTATATAAAGCAAACCTTTCTTCATTTGATTTCATTAAGTGGTTATTATTTGTTATTTCTGATCTGCCCTGCTATAAAACTATAAAGCATTTTTCTATATTGTATTTCATGAGTTGCTCTTTTATAATATTAACTAGAGGCCTGGTGCATGAAATTCGTGCACTGGGGATGGGTGGGGGGTCCCTTAGCCCAGCATGTGCCCTCTTGCAGTCCGGGACCCCTCCCTTGTTACTGCCCATCTGCTTGCTGCTTCCTACCGCTTGGCTTGCTGCTCCTTAGTGCTGCCACGAAGGCCTTGGGTCTGCTGGGTGCCGGG